ATATAAGGCAAACATGGATTGTCACCGAGCAAGTTAATTTAATCTCAGATTTTGAAATCGATGGCTAGTTGATTTCTAGTATATTTTTTATTCAATATATTGTATAATATATTTATTAAAAATTATTATTATTTTAATATAAAATTAAAAATAAATAAATTTAATTAAAAATATAATTATACATATATAAAATGTGAGAATCGATTAAATCTGCTACACTTATATTATGATAAAAATAACTTTTATAATAAATTTACCATCTCAACTTTAAAATCACGTCATCTAGAGAATATTTGAAAAAATACATAGTTAGATTTAATATTTTATTGATATAGATCATTAACATATATCTTTAAATTGATCTAATATTTATAACCATTCAATCAAGAAAATGCATTTTTTAACATATATTTAATGGTATTAAATTTATATAACTAATAAATTAACTAGAAAATTAGTATGCATAATTTAGATGAATAGTGCATTTGATTTAATGATTAGTTTTTAAAAATATTCATTAGAATGTGGTGTTTTTACTATTAAAAAAAATTGTATTTTTGAAATTAAAACCTTGTTTTTTTTATGAAAGTCTGATTGATATGCATTCTTATAGATGTATATATACGTGAAAAAATATTTATCAATCAAGCACCTAAAAACTTATGAGAAAAAAACATTGCATAATAACTACTCCTTTCAATAAACTATTATTAAAAAATACTAAAATAATTTATTTTAAAAGTATGAATAAAACTGTTTTGGTCATTTATTAAGATACTTTTCATCTAATTTTTTAGAGATTTCGTTAACAAACACACACATATATATGAGATAGTGTGAGGTAGGATGTCCTCTTAAAATTTTTTATAGAGGAATTGTCCAAAAACCTACCTTCTAAATTAATATTTTCAAAAATTGATCATTGGATTGAAAGTTTTATTCATGTAGATCATGTATGTTTATTTTCATATTATTCTAACATTTATAACACTCTAATAAAAAAAACTTTATTTAATGACATATTTAACGATGTTAAGTTTCTTATAGTTAACGAAGTGATTATGTTTATTAGAATAATTTAAAAATTGGTATACATAATCTATATTAATAAAACTTTCAATCTATCAATTGGTTTTAAAAAATATTAATTAAAAAAATGAGATTTTACACATGTCCTCCAAAAAATTTAGGAAGACAACTTGTAAAAACATTTTTCCCTATTTATACATACATATATATATATAGATGAAAAAGTGTAGTACAATTCATATTGTACAGCATTGTATTACATTAACTATTGGATAGAGGTGGGCTTCCTAATGTTGGAGGCCTTCCCCATTCAATGGTCCTTGTTTTACAAGTTGATGTAATTTGGACTATAAAATAGGGTTCCTATGTATATATATATGAGGAGAGATTCATTCATATACAAGTCTTACCTACCACACTTATACAAAATCTCAATTATCTATCTATAAATCCACTCATACATAAGTTTTACACACCACACCTATAAAAAATTTCAACCATTCATCTTTTCATTTTCAATAGTTGAGATTTATTTACATTTATTAAATATAATTATCATTTTCACCTAAAAAGTCATAACAAATATCAGCCATTGAAGGTAGAGAGATGATTGGTTGAGATTTTATATAAATGTGGTACATAAAACTTGCATGTGAGTAGATCCATTATATATATGTTTGTATATATATAACTATATACAATAACATTGATACAAATATTTTTTTATTCAATATATTTTACAATATATTTATTAAAAAATTATT